GCTAACAGTGACGCGATGGACGTTGAGAATGCTGCAACAGAAGCTGAAACTGGAACCGAGAAGAAGAAGAAAAAGAAGCACAAGCTTGAGGAGCCGCAGGATGTGGAGATGCAAGCCAATGGCGATGATGAGACCCCTAAGAAGAAGAAAAAGAAGAACCGCGACGCCGAGTCTGTTGATCCTAAGACGGGCACCGAGGGGAAATCCAAGAAAAAGAAGAAGAAATCCAAGGCTGATGACGACGAGTAGTAGATTAGTACCTAAGTACCTAGCAGCGAGTGTTCAAGTCGATTGAGGATGAAATTTTTTGTACCGACTGTTGTGTACTGTTTGAGCCTCTTTGAGCCCTTGACGAGGTCTGTAATGTAGCTTCATGGACTGAAGCGGCGTATCTGTAATACATTTGATGTTGCAGTATGTTGTTTCTTGGGGATGGCTTAGCTTTCCTATATAAATGGAATGGCATTGTTGGCACTGGTAGTAGATGAATGATCAATGATCACATGAAGGGGATATTTCGTTATTTGTGGACGAATGAATTTAAAATCACTGCTTGGACATAATATTAGTGAGGGGAAGGGTAGATGTGAAAGAAAAAAAAGTAAAGAGGAAAGGTTAAGAATTTACCTGATGTGAAATATAGTCCTGCTCTCCTGGACGACCGTTGCACATGGTTGAATTTTGAGAGTTCCTCAAAAAAATATCATCTTTCCCTAATATGGTGGGAGAGTTGACCTACCCTCAATACGCTCCCCAATAACCAGGGAGGGATGAGGGATCTGCTAACGTCCATCCGCAATAACAACGGAGGGCCAGAATGCTCGAATAGAAACATGTCTGCCCCGTCGATTTTTTACTGATGATTCTTTGATTCTTATGCAAGCCAATACCATGAATGTGGAGGCCTTGAAATCAGTCCTAGACGCTTATTGTGCCGCCACCTTATGGTGAGTATTGAAAAATCTAGCATCTTTTTTAGCCCCAACACAAAAGTGGAAGACAAGGCGTAAATTTGTTCAATTATGAATATTATGACTGAAGTTCTCAATGACAAATACTACGGTTTGTCTGCCAACGTGGGTATGGACAAAAGCGAGTGTTTTCGGTTCTTGGTTGACTGTATTATAAAAAAATTAATGGATGAAAAGAAAAAATGTTGACTATATTATAAAAAAAAATAATGGATGGAAAGAAAAAATGTTATCCGTTGAAGGGAAGGAAATTTTGCTCAAATCTATTGTACAATCTATCCCCACCTATGCCATGTCCGCCTTCAAAATTCCTAGCTTTTTTTGCAAAGGAATCCTTGACGCGATGTCACAATTTTGATGTGAAGACGAGGACAATCGGAAGAGGATGCATTAGATGGCTTGGTGGAAGATGTGTGTTTCAAAAAATCAAGGAGGAGTTCCTCTGCGGCGAGAGAGACGGCGGATGTGTGATGTCTTTCTACTTGGGCGTTGGTCGGGCTCACTTGCCACACTCTGTTGCAAGCAGGTCCTCGTCGTGCTCGTGTGTGCCTCACTCCTAGATGGCTGTTTGGCTGTAGTCTTCGGCTAGGACAAGCTTCGAGCTTTGTTTTTCTTGTATTCTTTTTGAGCTTGTGCGACCCGTTGAGTTGTAAGCCTCCTAGAGTGTCCCCTTGTATCGCTCGGTCATGGGGTTTGTGTGTGTTTGTATTTCCTGGCCGGTTGATGGCTTTGTTAATTCAAAGCCGGGCTCTTCGCGAGCCTTCGTTCTAAAAAAAAATCAAGGAGGTATAGAATTTCGGGATATTCATTGTTTCAATCTATCATCACTAGCTAAACAAGCGTGGTGTCTTCTTGATAATCCGGATTCTTTATGTGCCTTTCTCTTGAGAGCTAATTTTTTTTCCTGTTGGCGATTTGATGAATGCAAGCTTAAAAGGGGCTCTTTTTTTACGTGGCAAAGCATTATGGCTGGAGTTTTTTTTGAACATCAGTACAAACGCAAGCGCTCATACATACGCGCATACACTCACACCTATGAACGCACACACGCACACCCTACCCCTATGAGCACCTCCGAGAGACTGAGCCGACATGTTATCTTAAAATTTTCGAAGTCACCGTAGGCACCTCGTGAAACGTCTCCTCCCACTGAAAGCGCATCGCCGAAAAAATTCTGAAATAAATCCAGAAATAATGCAAGCACCAGGACTTGAACCCTGGTGGGCTGGAGTTAACTCATTGAAAAATGGTTATATCTGGCGAGTTGGAAATGGACGGAATATCGATATTTGGAAAGATGCATGGACCCTGAATTGTGCAAATAGGAAAATTATTACTTCTAGAGGAGGGCACCTTATGTCCAAGGTTTCAGATCTTATTGATCCAGTCACAAATTTCTGGGATGAAGATTTGGTGAGGCAAACACCGTTGCCAATTGATGCTCAAAGAGTTCAAGCTATTCCTCTCTATATGCATAATATGTCGGATTTCATTGTTTGAAGCTATACAAAAAATGGTTTGTTCATTGTTGGATATGCTTACTTGGCGGAATGGGATCATCAACATGGGAGAAACTTACAATATATAAATGGTATGGGTAGAACCAATGTTAACCCTATCAGGTGTAAGATTTGGAAACTTTCATGTCCAGCAAAGGTCAAGATTTCTATTTGGCATACGTTGCATGGAAATCTCCCGTGCCGTGTTACGCTTGCAAATAGACACATGAAAGTTTTGCCAATCTGCCCATCATGTTTGAATGGGCTAGAAGATACAAAGCATGTTCTGTTTATTTGTCAGAAAGCGAAGGAGGCTTGAGATAAGTTGGGGATGAATGAGGTGATTAAAAAAGATTGTGCTATTGATCGTGCGGGTGAGGCGGTACTTGAATTCTTACTCCTTATGCGAGACCAGGACTTATCTAATTTGGGATTCTAGAATGTACATGAAATGATTGCTATAACCGTGTGGTATCTATGGTGGGACAGACGTAAGCTGGTCCATGAGGGAAAGTTCAAAGATGCATACCACACATCCATGGGGGTCCGGGCTATAACGGATAATTTTGTTAACGCTAACTCCCCTAATGCAACCAGTAAACGAGGGGGTGGAGTAAACCTTCTATGGTTTTTGTTAAGCTGAATGTTCATGCATCTTTTGATCATGACTAGCACAGGGGCACAACGGGAGTTGTCTTTAGAGATGATAAAGGAAATTTCATTGTCGACGAAAATTGGAAGATTGATTGGTGTGTGGATGTTTTCATGACAGAAGCTTTGGCTCTAAGGTTTGGCTTATCTCTGGCATAAAAGGCGGGATGCAATCGCCTGGTAATAAACTCTCATAATATGGAAGTCATCGACACAATGAAGACTGGAGGACAATCTGCTGGAGCGCTGGCTGCAGTTTTTGATGACCATTATCTTTTGGCTTGTGATTTCCTCTCACTAGTTTTGAACATTTTAATAGGGAAGCGAACAGGGTTGCACATGAACAAGCTAGGTTAGCGAGAGTTTCTGCGACAAATGAGTGGTTTGAGGAGCCTATGGGCGATATTGTATCTTTTCTTATAGACTATGTAACCGTTATTTCCAATTAATAGAGTTGTTATTTTTTTAAAAAGGGTGTTAATAGGAAGCCCCAATATATGCTCAGGAGTTCTTTTGTGAGTTGTTCGAGATGATCTCAACATTGTCAGAAACGGCCGCCGTCCGTTCCTGTCCTAGACTCGCCTCCAACGCCCGCTGGTTTGCTTGATGAGTCAACAATGATGCATGGACCCATCTGGTCGTCTGCCCAGGGTGACCCTGCCTCCCTTGCAGATGTCAATCTACTGCCCCCTCGGCCATCCTTCTAGGTCCAAGGGCCTTTCTTCTTCTTCAACGTCGACACACCTCCTTCTATAACCCTAAGGGCCCCGCCCCATTGCTATACAACTGTCAGTCCACTGCCTCCTTGGCCGTCCTTCTAAGTCTAGGGGTATTTCTTCTTCTCTGATGTCGGCATGCCCC